CAATGGGAATGTCTCCCAGTTAAGTATACATGAAATGTCATCCTCAAAAACTAGATTTTACATAAAGTTACATAATTATTATGAGAACCATGACCATGGACACTTGTGTAAATATGAGATTTCAAGTAAATCAGGGATTACAGTCAGATTACTCTGTCTCTAGTAGTTTATTATCCTTGGTAAATCATTCCCAGTATTTAGAGTTTTTAAGTAGTTCAACTTTCTTTTTTTCTGGTGTATGTGTGCATGCATGCACACATAGACACACATGTGGATACACAATTTCTGTATATGTGGGGAGTCTATTGGAACCTCACAAATAAGACTGTGCTTCTACAACATACATGACAGAAAAATAAGTAATCCAAAGGTGCTTGTGTCCAATCTTCTTATTGCTTTAATCATGTGGTTTATTAAAGGAATAAATACTCACTAAGGACTTTTACAAGCCAAAACAGAAAGACAGAAGAATTAAAGCATCGGGGATAGAATTAGATTGCAGTAAAATTGCAACATAAAAATAGGAAGCACAGATAAAATCTAGCAAGCTATTACTTTATCCTAGAATTGCAACATAAAACCAGCCATCAGATGGATTCATACTGTCGTACAGGATCAAAGCTCAGCCCAACAGTAACCCAACAGTAACACAGCACAGGTTTAGAAGCACAATTCACACTGTTCCTAATTTTTTTTTGTTGTTGTTGTTAGAGCTTGGAAAGTTATATTTAAAAGTAATTACAAGGTATATTTTCAAGCCTCTTTTCCTAACTTATTTACTGATCCAGTTAAAAAAATGTAAAGGAACTCTGGAGTTTCAGCCAGGACAGGGGAAGGATGAGGAGGAGGAGGAGGCTCTCCAGGCCAGTTTCTAACAGAAAGGAGAAAGAGAAAGAAGCTTTCTAGGCAGTTTCTGCCAGGAAAGGAGACAGAGAAGGAGGCTTTCCAGGCCAGTTCCTGATAGGAAAGAGGAAGAAAGCAGTTTCCAGGCAGCCAGCTTGAGAGGGTAAGTTTTTAAATTCTTTTTAAAAACTCTTGCAGAGAGGTTGACTGTTACTCAGTGGGTGGGGCTTTGTTGAGTCACATTTGCAAGTC